CTGCAACCATTGGACAAATAAAAACCCGTAGTCGGTCGTATTCTACTCTGACAACTATGCCGTTTACGTGCGGGAGAAGTTCTGAGTTTACTGCTTTTATTAAATAAGCTTTTTACTTTAGTTTTCGGGATTTCAACATTGATTTATCTTCACTGGAGCTTCTCAGCAGCTAGCTTCCGTGCACATCCAGTTCCAGTATTGTTGTTAGCGTTGTTAGCTCTGTCGGACTACGACTTCATATTTATATAAAAACCGGACAAAACTGGACATTACTTGGAGAAAAGAAAGCGAGGAGGTTGAACTACCTGGTGAGTTTAGAAAACAACAGACCTGACAAAGCACGAATTCATATGTTTAACAAGTCTGCATTATGTTCTAGTTATTTCGGCATCAGTTTAATCCGTATATTGCTATTTAATCACAGCAAAATGTTTACTTTGGGTTCATACAGTTGTAGTAATGGCGAGTTGTGTTTATTCAAGTTATTGCGTTAAAATCGCCTTCTCGCGTTGTGTGTGAACACTTACAGCGATTGTACTGATGGGAGGAAAGCGACGCGAAGCGAAAATTTGCGGTTGGTCTGAAAGCACCATTAGGCTACATATTATCAGGATGGCCCCTATGAGCCACGACTGGCCAGTGAATGGACTGGAGGCGGGCATGTGAGGAATTCAGGAGAGGGTTTTACAGCAATAAAGTAGTGATAACTGAGACTCCAATTATACTGCAGGTATACTTTGAGATGTCTTTGGGGACATTTAATATTGTTCATCACTTTTAAAAGCTTTCTTTACCATGAAGAATGGAGTAAGAGCCAGTTAATGTGGCTTTAGGTAAGAAGTGAATACAAAAATTTTAATTTTTGGATTAACAATTCCTTTCACCCATATATATAAAAGAAAGAATGACTGCAACTACAGGCAACAGGATGGGTGTACATTGGCACTTGGTGTAACAATTTTGTTTTTATTTTCAGAGAAGAGCATGCGTAGTCAGAAATTTTAAATGTCTAAATGTCTGGATCTTGACATTGATGAGTCACGATGCTTTTGCTTTTTCCTGATTCAATCGTAGGCTGGCTTGTTTTAACATTCTGTTGTCATTGTCAGCAACGGGCCTTTATGACTCAGTCTGAGCAGCTCTTCACTGAGGCTTCACAGGCTGCATCACGTTTACAGCTGTTTGAACAGCCGAGCCGGTCTCCACAACCCTCTGCTAAATGATGAGATCGCCCTGCTCTCCAGCAAGTCAACATTTCCCCATTAAGTCCTGCACGGGGAGAAAGGCTTAGCCAACAGCCTCATGCCATCTTTAAAGGCCAAATCAATAGTGCTTTGATTGCCTTCCGCCTCCATTTTGGTTTTTGTCTTCTCTCCAGTAATAAGTCCACTTGTTCACTTTGTGGTGTATAATATATGTGCATTTGACGCATAACAGTTTGGAATAGACCTTTTAAGGGGAGAGCAGAGGTTAGTGGTTATGTGGAGACTCAGACCCTTATATGGTGTCTAACAGATGCCTACACATATCCTATAGCACTGTGCCCTCATATGGATTGGTGCCTTAGTTTGCAGTCTCAAACCCTTCTATGGTATCTAACAGATACCTAAACATGTCCTATATAAGCTATGTTTGATGTACAGAGAGACAGAGTGGCCATCGGGCTGGGTCACTCTCCAAGCTGCTGCAGAGCTTGTAATTGATGCTGAACTCCTTGATGTAATAAACTTTTATGATCAAGAACAGTGTCAAGCGGATTTCTTCTCAACACCTCATCGCAGCATTATTGTTCGGACACCACAACTTCTTCCTACCATGCCGTCAGTCTGTTAGTTTGTCTGCCAAAAGGTATTACTGCTTTAAAATATCCTCATGATTAGTAACACCCTTCAAACTTGTAGTCAATGTAGACAATGTAGACAATGAACCATTGCGGCATTTCTTCTTGCATGAACAGTACAGAGTAGTGCAGAGTAGGGATGAGCACGATTAAAAGCTTGGGCGACTGCACGACTACACTCTACTTCTGTAAATACTAATGTGTTGACATGTTAAATTTATTTAAATAAAAATCCATGCTAAGAGCAGGGGTACTTTTCATTTACCAGCACATAAAACATGGTGTTGAAAGTAAAGTGCTATTTTGCTGCCTAGATGGGCTTAAATTCTCTTTACATTAAATTACAAATATTACATTAGCTAACTGTTATTGTGTGAATGGTTGACATGACATCTTTATGAGGGCAATAAACATATCACATGTATCAAGCTGCCAAGCTTTTTACTGCATCACATAGTTCAGACTCTGATGCCTACCTATTAAACTAAAGCATTGCTAATAGATTTGTTGCTGGGCATTAGGCATGTGCTTAGCCTTTCAGTAGCTCTAACTGCAGATAATCTTTTTTTTCTGAGAGCTTTAGACAAAATATATGTTAAAATACTGCCAATTATGTCCATTTAGGTGTTTGTTTTTTCTCAACTTGAGAAATTGTATTGGCATCTGTTTAACCATCAGTGAAATTACCCAAAACACACATCCTTAACAGAGATAGATTATGGGAAAATGAAATGAAAGTGAAGACATAGTCTGCCCACTCACTCTAGGTTTGCATAATAGCAGTGCTAGGACCATTTGCAAAGGATCTCACAGGCAATTCACAGTTGGGGCCAAAGTGCAGCAAGGTGCACTGAAATGGAGTGAACCAGCTGTAGACAGGCCATTCTGACAGGAGGAATAAAATCTGGGGAAAGGAGGTTTAAAAATCCCTTCTGGTTACTGGGAATATCCACTGAGAAGTGCAGGGGAAAAGAGCACATCCAGCACATGCTTTCTTTAAGTGCTATGCCTGGGCAGTTGATCGTGAAACTGGCGCCTTTTTGATCTACGAAGCTGATAACGCGGGGCCTGACTGTTAAACTGACAAAGGGACACGAACCAGCGATTAGCATTTCCCTGAACAGCCTATCAAAACTGCCCCCCCCACACATGTAACCGTGGCAACTATCCTTGCTCTGTGTTTCATTACCCCATCAAAGGGATACCCCTGTCTCACCCAAGTTGTGACATAACCCAGAAAGCCGAACTTTAAATAACCAAAGACTGGAGTCTCCAAAGACTCAAAGCATTTAATTAAGTTTAATTAAATCTTTAGTTACCTGATTACGTTTGCCTCTATTTGAGTAGTTATGTTAACATGTTGTTGCTATCTGTTGTTGATATTAGTGCTGAAAAGAATCTAAATAAGTTACTTTTGCAGTGTTTTTATTTTCAGCAAGACACTCCCTCATCTAATGTAATCAATGCTTGTTCATAATACTTTCCTACAAAATTCCTTTATAAATGATGATAAAGAAATATCTTACTATACTCTTAATCGCCAGCTTGAATTTAAGGATGAATAACTAAATCCCCCGGTTCCTAAGGAGAGATGATCTTGGATTAATCTAAGCTTTCCTCATGTAACCTGAGCTCCCCCAAGTGGACGAAATAAGTATTTACATACCATCGTTGGAAATGCCGTTAAATGTATAAATATCCTGACCAATAATGTGACAATTGTTTCCTGTTACCAAATGCTTAACTTAGAACGGTACAACTGTTCGACCATCGAGGTTCGATTGTGGAAAATATTTGATTATAATACGCGCAAATAGATTTTCTTGTCTTTTAGACATTAAGTTTAGAAAGGCAGTCCCTCGAGAAACCCCTCTGAAACGCCCTCTGGGGAACCACGCCCCAGGCAACAAAAGAGCGACACGCCACGTCGTTCGCCCTCTCTTCTCTTCTCTGCTCTCGGCTCTCTGGACGCTTCGGCACGCGTCCGACGTGCCTCGCCGGGCAACGCCCTCAGAGTCGGCCAGCGAAACAGGCCTTTTGTTCGCTTGAAGTTACACACGCGAAGTGCCACGACATCGATCTGCCCCTCGGTTTGTTTTATTTTCTTTCTTTCTTTCTTTTGTTTTGTTATCAGTCCGTTAAGTTACACTGGACTAATTCAGGAACGACCAAGTTCCATTTTTAAGCTTTTTCGTCGAGCCAACTTCACCGAGGTCAGACCAAGCCACGTGGTCTCGCCAGCGGCAATGAAGGAAACCTGAAAACAGCCGAATTGCCAGACGGAGGACGGGGTTTTCTTCAGTCAGACACGGAGAACCCCGGTGAATCCCTAGCAAAAGGCCAGGATCGGGCAGCTAGCGTGGGACCCGTGCAACAGGCCAAAGCGGGCCGTCAACAAGCCGTAAGACCTAACCAACATTCTGTGATCAGAGATTTCCTTTTAACTCGTTAAAGCTTACTTTCATTAGTTCTCCTATGCCGTATGAGTCAAATGCTTCCCACAATCGAACCTCCAGGCTCATTGTTCAGGAATTGTTTATTTTCCCTGTATTCAACCATCCTTTTATATCACATTAGTTAGAGAATAAATTCACTGTAATATAATCAAGAACTGTGTGTGTTGCCTAATTCTACGTCCCTGCCAAGAGAATTGACCCTTTAGATATGAGACTGACTGATTGATTTAAGATAATTGAGCGATTATTAACTAACTGATCACTAGTAATAATTGTATAATTATTAAAAACTACCTAGAGGTCCGGAGACTCTAGGATTATAACAACTCCGGTGGTGCCCTTAAACGAGGAATAAAATTTGATTTTATGAATATTAAAATTCATAATGGGGTATTAATTCTCATAAATTTATTAAAATTCATAACAAATCTAGGTTTGCTACACTATGTACAGTATATGGTGAGATATAACAAATGTTATCTATTGAGAAATTGTTAAAAGATAAAAAGTCTACTTTGCCATGTTGATGCAAAAATCACTTTTAAAAATCCTATATGGCCGTTGATTAGTCCTGCTCATTCATCTGCAACATTATGGTAAACAGTCACAATGTCTGATAATAAACCAACTTAAATTGTCTCACAGTATGTATCGTCATATATCATCATCCCTGTGTGTCGGTATGTTCATGTGTGCTGCCCCACCTGGAGAAAAAGCTGTGTTGGCCTGTAGACGAGGTGTCTCCATCGTACGAGTCACTTTGCTTACGGCTGAGCGGGGGCCCGCCCTGGCCGTGTCCTTCGTTGGGGGCGGAGATATCAATGTTGCTTTTACTCAGCCTCTTGCTAGAACTCAGACCCGGGCTGGACTCTCCGAGCAGGCCCGAGTTATCCTGAGAGAAAGGAGGAGAATGTGCAACATACTGTGAAGCCTCAAACACAGCACCAGGAAATTACACATAATCAGATGGGAGTTGATGCGTTTTCCCAGGTGAACAGTTAAATGTGTGGGGGGAAATCTGTGTAAGAGTGAATCTATTAGATTTAAAAGACAAGGCAAAGGGGAGGTGAAAAAAAGGAGGGAGTGACAGACAGTGGGCCTCTTGCAAAGCTTAGCAGGGGAAAGAGAACAAGACAAGCTGCTCCAGGAGGGCAGTTCAGCAGAAATACACTGCTCAAAGAAATAAGGGAACACTTAAGTCACATATCAGATTTCAATGAACGAAACTGTTCATAGCTCAAAATCTATACTATACATTGTATCATTTATTGACAACAAAATGACATAACAACTGCCTATGGAAACCAAAATCACCAACCAATTAAGAGCTTGATTCACAAAACTGAAAACACAGGCTGATCCAATTTGCGTGACTTTCATCAAGGCCATTAATAATGTGACTCAGAAGCGTGTATGGGCCCCCACATGCTTGTATGCACTCTGGGCAATGTCTGGGCATGCCCCTAATGAGACGACAGATGGTGTCCTGGATCAGGGCATCAATGAGCTCCTGAACAGTTGGTGGCGCTACTTAGTGGCATCAGATGCACAATATATAATGTTCCAGAGGTTCTCAATTGGATTCCAGTCTGGGGAACATGAGGGCCAGTCAATGGCATCAATGCCTTCAACATCAAGGAGTGCTGCAAAACAATTCACTTTTGGGGGGTTGTCTTGCTGTGACTTTACTTCATTAATGTAAAGACCTTTAGAAAAACACGGTGCCAAGGACATTGTCTCTGATGTATAGCCACATTTCTAAACATCTGTGTGTTGATAGAGGTGTGCTGAAAAAGTGACAGGAAAGAGACACAGACGAGGCGAGTTTTGTGTAAGAGGAGTCTCTGTTTACTAGAAAGGACAGAGAGTCGTGCCAAGGGCACTGCCACTGGTGTTCATGTGCACGCTTGTAATAATGAACTCCGCTGGTGAAGACAAGGTATGTAATCTTGATCATTTGCAGGGATCTCTTAATCATGTATCACCAGTAAGATTTTCTTTCACCAGAGTCTTATCACAGTGGGCTCCTACCTTCAGGCTCTCAGTGCTGTTGTTCCTGCTGCTGTTGGTGGGGCTGCCAGGCCTCTGGTGGTTGCTGAAGCACAAAGCGTCAAAGCACAGTACACCTCCCACACAGTCGCCCATCAGGCATACCTGCTCAGGGAATATATAATTTAGATGCCCCCCATATATAGTGCACTCAGGCAGGAGAACAACTGGAGAAATGTATGAATGAATTGAAAAATGAGAATTTTTCATATTTCAGTGGGACAGGAAGGCATGACATTCACTTGAGACTATATATAAAAAAGGATACAGTACCGTCATATTATACTGTTTTTGAAAGGTGGTATACAAAGACTCAATGAATTTTACTATTTTGTAATCACAGGTAATGATGCAATATGTGTGTACATGGACATTAATATGTGTGTACATGGACATTAATCAATATATGACATAAAGAGAAAGCACAGTGGCCCTCATTTATCATTCTGGCGTAGAAACGGGTATATATGTTGGCGTAAGATTATGCTTACACTCCTCTCACCGCGTGAGATTTATGAAGCTGTGCATACCTTTGAAATCCAGGTGTACGCAATACCTGCCCTTGATAAATGCCACGGTTGAAAACGATCATCATTAGAATAACACGCTCCTATATATTCAAGTTTCCGCTTCCCCCACGCCCTCATTTTACGCTATGGACACACGGAAGACAGCAAAGAAGAGGAACTTCTCCGACGTGGAGATCGAGACCATCACCAGGGAAGTGAAAAGAAATAAAATTGTTTTATTTGGGAGTTTAAAGAGTGGGATTAAAGGCGTCCACAAAAACAAAATATGGACCCAGATTACGACTTCTGTTCACGTCACATGTATTGGGGTGTACAATAGTGATGATGATGTGATGTGGAGTACCATTCATTCACATTAATAATTGCATGATAATTAAAAAATAATAATAATAATAAAATATTATTATTATTATGATTTTTATTATTAATGATGCTTATTGTTATTTAGAAGAAGAATGGCGTTATTATTATTATTTTTATTATTATTATTATGATTTTTATTATTTAAAAGAAGAAAAATTTAATTTATATTATTTTGTCAGTCTGAATTATTTTTTGTTCATTGAAAGTCTTTCATTACTGAACCCAGTCCGTCCGAACCTTAGATGGCATTTTGAATGCGCATTTGGGTGCTGACTTGTGGCTGGTTCCGTAAATCTGCAGCGTGCATTTTTCTGTTTTTAGGCAATAATATAGTCAGTTTGATCTGCAACTTTTATTTGTGTCACAGCCTTTTTTTGTTTGGGTATACACTGAAATAAAAGCAACCCCAAATACATACAATATACTACAAATGAAGGAATACATATGCCTACAAATCAAATGCTTTGGTAAAGTCACACAAATTAAACATTTAAGTCCATGTTGCACAAAAATAAACACTGAAGTTTATATTTACTATGTTGTTTTTTTTTTACAGTGGGTCATAATATATCATATCTTTTAGTTTGTCAGTGCATTTTGTGGTGTTAGGAATTGTTTTGCTGCGCATTTCCGCACTAACTCAAAACTTACATATACACCACCTCCTGAGCTGGCGTAGGATTTGAGTGTGCCGTACGCCAACGTCCATATATATATCTCAAAGTCACCGTGGTTTTGGGTGTACGCCAGGTGTACGCTGGAAATTTGGTGTATGCACTTTTCATAAATGAGGACCAGTGTGTTTCTAAAAGTTTAATGCTTATCTTTTGTTTCAGGGCATTTTTCCAGAGCCGTTTCAGCACCATTCACATTCCTTTTGTTGTTTTTTAGTTTTTTTTTGCAAATGATAGCAGCTCCTCCATTTCTTATGTGCATTGCATTGCGGGACAATGTCACACATCAACAGCATGCTCAGAAATCAAGTGTTTTTAAAAAGAAGCTGCACTCACAGCATATCATTTAGACTGTAATTACGAGCAACCAAGTGGGAAACCCCCTTCACATAGGCCTCTGAGTTGTAAATCTGACTCAGATGAGATTTTCTGTAGGCTACTTTATATCTCCCACTTAGTAAAAAGAACTACAGACCCCTGATGATAAAATTACTGCAAAGCCACCATCGCTGGCAGTTACATCTATAATAAATCCAATATTGTGCCCCTTGACAGTCTGCTCAATCATGTGCCATCAAGGCCTGAGAATCTGAGGTTTTTCATTTCAGACAAGTACTACAGCAGCTGAACTTTGGCCATTACACAAGACTTGACTTTTTAATTAAATTTAGAATAGTTAATATGAGAAGTTTTTTTTCATAGCCCGAAGCTATTGTTGTTAAATTAAATTCAATTGTAAATAGTCTTCTCATAGAGCATTGCCTCACTAGAAAATACAGCTTGTTACAGAGCCTAATAATTGTTTTGTAGAAAATAGTGAAATGTGTCTGCTTAGACAATAGAAATCTGGAGCCCTCTGAGGGCTGAGATTTCACATTCCACTCAAATGCAAGCTTTATTTCCTTTGACAATCATTGATTCATTATTAAGGTGCGTACAGCCCATTATTCAATGATAAGAGACTAGAGTGAAGGAGTTCTCCTATCCTCTTTAGCCAGAAGAAGGCGAAACAGACCTGACCCGTGAATCCCTGCCCGTCCTCCGACTGCAGGAAGCTGTGGTAGACCTGGTTGGCTCGGGCGATCACGGTCGCCACGGCGTCCTGGTAGCGTGGCGAGACAATTGCGAGGAGAGGGAGAGCAGCCAGGGGCAGGTGGTCCACGCTACTGGACACGCAGCTCTCATCATAGCTGTATGGGTTCAGACTGGAAAAGGAAGAAGCAAGGAAGGTGGGGTTGAAGGGCAAGAAGGAACATACAGTATAAAGAACAGGTTGCATAATCATGTTCTGTCTTGAAAAAGCCCCTTAGGAGTGTTCCCTTAAAACTTTGTAAAATGTCATCAATTACTAATGCACAGTAATGTCAAACGAAATGAAGGTTATGTACAGTGGGTACGGAAAGTATTCAGACCCCTTTAAATTTTTCACTCTTTGTTTCATTGCAGCCATTTTCCAAAAATCAAAAAAGTTCATTTTATTTCTCAGTAATGTACACTCAGCACCCCATCTTGACAGAAAAAAACAGAAATGTAGAAATTTTTGCAAATTTATTAAAAAAGAAAAACTGAAATATCACATGGTCATAAGTATTCAGACCCTTTGCCGTGACACTCATATTTAACTCAGGTGCTGTCTATTTCTTCTGATCATCCTTGAGATGGTTCTACACCTTCATTTGAGTCCAGCTGTGTTTGATTATACTGATTGGACTTGATTAGGAAAGCCACACACCTGTCTATATAAGACCTTACAGCTCACAGTGCATGTCAGAGCAAATGAGAATCATGAGGTCAAAGGGACTGCCTGAAGAGCTCAGAGACAGAATTGTGGCAAGGCACAGATCTGGCCAAGGTTACAAAAAAATTTCTGCTGCACTTAAGGTTCCTAAGAGCACAGTGGCCTCCATAATCCTCAAATGGAAGACGTTTGGGGCGACCAGAACCCTTCCTAGAGCTGGCCGTCCGGCCAAACTGAGCTATCGGGGGAGAAGAGCCTTGGTGAGAGAGGTAAAGAAGAACCCAAAGGTCACTGTGGCTGAGCTCCAGAGATGCAGTCGGGAGATGGGAGAAAGTTGTAGTAAGTCAACCATCACTGCAGCAATCCACCAGTCGGGGCTTTATGGCAGAGTGGCCCTCCTCAGTGCAAGACACATGAAAGCCCGCATGGAGTTTGCTAAAAAACACCTGAAGGACTCCAAGATGGTGATAAATAAGATCTTCTGGTCTGATGAGACCAAGATAGAACTTTTTGGCCTTAATTCTAAGCGGTATGTGTGGAGAAAACCAGGCACTGCTCATCACCTGTCCAATATAGTCTCAACAGTGAAACATGGTGGTGGCAGCATCATGCTGTGGGGGTGTTTTTCAGCTGCAGGGACAGGACGACTGGTTGCAATCGAGGGAAAGATGAATGCGGCCAAGTACAGGGATATCCTGGACGAAAACCTTTTCCAGAGTGCTCTGGACCTCAGACTGGGCCGAAGGTTTACCTTCCAACAAGACAATGACCCTAAGCACACCGCTAAAATAACGAAGGAGTGGCTTCACAACAACTCCGTGGCTGTTCTTGAATGGCCCAGCCAGAGCCCTGACTTAAACCCAATTGAGCATCTCTGGAGAGACCTGAAAATGGCTGTCCACCAACGTTTACCATCCAACCTGACAGAACTGGAGAGGATCTGCAAGGAGGAATGGCAGAGTTTACCCAAATCCAGATGTGAAAAACTTGTTGCATCTTTCCCAAAACGACTCATGGCTGTATTAGATCAAAAGGGTGCTTCTACTAAATACTGAGCAAAGGGTCTGAATACTTATGACCATGTGATATTTCAGTTTTTCTTTTTTAATAAATGTGCAAAAATTTCTACATTTCTGTTTTTTTTTCTGTCAAGATGGGGTGCTGAGTGTACATTACTGAGAAATAAAATGAACTTTTTTGATTTTTGGAAAATGGCTGCAATAAAACAAAGAGTGAAAAATTTAAAGGGGTCTGAATACTTTCCGTACCCACTGTATATTAAATTAAGTTCATGATGTCCAAAGTGAAAGATCCTTCAGGTGTTCCTTTTGTGATACACTTCTCCTAGATTTTCCTACATTAATTTATGTCTCATCCAATCTGTTCAAGATGCACTCTATCTGAATTGATGCTACTGTGAGTGTGTGTATGTGTGTTTGAGAGTGTGTGTGTGTACACAAGAAAGATACAAAAAAGAAAACTGTTATCTCACCAAATATAACACAAGCAAACCTGCACAGGTAACAGCAATGAGAGCAAAGTTTTTGTGCCTACTGCTGTGTAGAATGTTAATGAATGTGTGTGTTTGCTTGTGTGTGTCACGATGACGGAGCAGACGTGGTTCAAGCGAGACATTTCAATTGACAGTGTGGGGAAACAGTAAAAGATGGCGTTGCCCTGCACTCTTTCCTCGAGCAGCAGGGCCAACCCTGTCACCATCCATCAGGTGCTCTGATTACAGGAAGAAGCAGCAATTCCACACCAAGCGGCTGAAATATATCAGCAACCATTGACACCTCACTACACTGAAGGGCACAACCTCTGTGCATGTAAAGTGTTTTCATGTAGCACTGACACAGAAATGTATGTAATGCTCTCCCATGTACCGCTTACATTACTAGAACAATAATAATTTAATCTCAGTTCAATCTATTCAACACATATAGGCCTATGCACTTTTCAGTGTACACTTGAATCAACCTGCTTCTTCAATTATTTTGTATGTATTTTTTACACTTATTATTGTACATATTTTTACAAATATTTTTAGCAAGCTGCAGAATCTATGGGAACCATCACTTATCGTGTTGGAGAGGTTTGCATGCCCCGGTGAGCCTGGAGGCTGTGTTGTCTGGAGCCTAGTGCTCCTGGTAGGGTCTCCCAAGACAAAGTGGTTCCAGGTGAGGGGCCAGACTGAGAATGGTTCATAAAGACACCTGGTGAAAAACCGAGGAAGAGGAGGAGAGACCCTGCCCAGAGGAAGCCCGGGCCCCCCGTTTGGAGCCAGGCCCAGAGGGAGGGCTCGCCGGCTAGCGCCTGGTGGCTGGGTTTCCCATGGAGCCCAGCCAGGCATAGCCCCTCTCCATCCTTTGGACCCACCATCCATAGGAAGATCCACAAGAGTCGGGTGCGCTGCCATATGGGTGGCCGAAATGGACCCTATCCCTCTCTGGAGTTGCTCAGGGTGTGAGACGCTGGGTGGGGATACTCACAAGCCAATCGGTGGGCTTGGGATCTCGTCACTGCTTTTTGCGGATGAAGTGGTCCTGAAGGCATCATCGGTCCGTAACCTTCAGCTCTCACTGGATTGGTTCGCAGCAGAGTGTGAAGCAGTTGGGATGAGGATTAGCACCTCTAAATCTGTGACCATGGCTCTCAGCAGGAAACCGGTGGAGTGCCAACTCCAGGTAGGGAATGAGTCCTTACCCCTTGTTTACGAGTGAGGGGAGATGAGATTGGCCGGAGAATCGGAGCAGCGGGGGCAGTATTGCACTCACTTTACCACACCTTTGTGACAAAAAGAGAGCTGAGCCGTAAGGCAAAGCTCTCAATCTACCGGTCAATTTTTGTTCCTACCCTCACCTATGGTCATGAAGACTTGGTCATGACCGAAAGAACAAGATCGCGGGTACAAGCGGCCGAAATGGGTTTCCTCAAGCGGGTGGCTGGTGTCTCCCTTAGAGATAGGCTGAGAAGCTCGGCTATCTGCGAGGAGCTCAGAGTAGAACCGCTGCTCCTTTGTGTCGAAAGGAGCCAGTTGTGGTGGTTTGGGCATCTGGTAAGGATGCCTCCTGGACGCCTCCCTAAGGAGGTGTTCCAGGCACATCCAGCTGGGAGGAAGCCTCGGGGAAGTCCCAGGACTAGGTGGAGAGATTATATCTCCACACTGGCCTGGGAATGCCTCGGGATCCCCCAGCCAGGGCTGGTTAATGTGGCTCGGGAAAGACAAGTTTTGGGTCCCCTGCTGGAGCTGCTGCCCCCGTGACCCGACCCCGGATAAGTGGATGAAGATGGATGGATGGATTGATGGCAGTATCTTGGAGTGATAACACTATGTTTCGTTGTTTGTATGATGACAATAAAGTTGAACTGAATTGAATCTAAACACAATCTGGCCTTGTTAAAAGTAATATCAATCTCATAATGTAATCTGACTAAGTAAGTAAATAAATGCATTTCTCAAAACATGGGCGAAGTTCTTGTTGTTTTGCTTATATAGCAGGAGTGGCATGATTTTTTGTTTTCCAGTAACACCAAGCTACTATTGTCTCTCTGAGGGTTTATGAACCTTGTTTAATTAGAGCCAAACATTGTGTTGCCATGGTTACGATACCCCAGAAAAGGACAAATGGATTCTGGCTACCAGTCTGGTAACAATTCGGGACAGAGCAACTTAATGATCCTTCACTGACTGTGGATTTCCCATTTCCCCAGATTAAGCCTTTTACTTACACTTCCCATTGCTTATACTGACTGCATGGCTGTGTAAACTTTCATTATAATCCTATTTTCAGGACCAAAGCACTTTTAATTATCCAAATAAAACTTTGCAAATTTGAGAACTTCTTCTGAAAAAATCATCCAGCTCCATCATCATCACTTTAAAAAAAAAAATTATAGCCACAATTCTGCACTACCACATGTTTATAGCATCCATGGCCAATATCTGTTGCAATTATAAAATACCATGCTGAAGGCTTTGTGGAAACCTTTTGGGAAGAAAAGACACAGTAGATGTGATTGCTGTGCTCCCAGCACAACAGTGTTCACCCGCCAGTCTACAACATCTACAGCGGATAAAGCCACTTCCACTATCTCAACTGCCAACATCATAGCACACAGAGAATCAAACTATCAAACTTATCTTAAACTTAATGGTGAGTAAACCTTTGAACCAGCTCTGTATATATGTATGTGTTTTGCTTTAAAAGCCACATTACACAAAAATCACACAACTGTAGTTTGTGGCTTTGACCTACTTAGAGCCGGTGGGTGATGAAAGCAAAAAACACCAGCACTACTTGACACAGGAGCTGCACTGTGCCCTTGATTGCTGCTGACACGCCCCCTGCTGCACCTCTTCTCCCAGCTGGTCCAAGTCGAGTTCAAGGCAAGTCAGCAAAATATTAAACAAGTGTAGGTGAGAAAAAAAGTGTGTGAGACCAACAAAAATGCCATCTCACCACA